AGGAAACAAAACTTCAAGAACACGGCCACACAGCCTGGAAGACCCACACCAGCCATCAGAACCTGGTTTACTTTCTCAATCTTCTGTGCAGCACGGGGCTGGCGCCCTTTCAGAAAACAGGCCCATACTATAAATATATGTTGATAAGGAGCCTGAAGTGCAGATGCCTCTGCAGAAGTTGGTGTTAGTTTCTCCGGAAGCTCAAGCCATGGAGGGCAATGCCCAGCCGCCAAAGAAGTCTCAGGGGGCTAAGAGGAGCTGGACAGAACCCAAACCCTGACTACTTCAGCAATCAAGTGGTCAATGGAACAGGCCATCACATCTACAGCAAAAATTGCATTGGGGGAAGAGGGAAAACTCTAATTTAGAACTGGAAGAGCTATGGATAACTTTAAACTGCCACAGATATAGGCTGGGGAAGAGTAATCACCATCAGTTTATGGCAGAAAAGAGAGGTTATATGCATGTGTGGTGGTGAGGGGCAAGTGAGGAAAAGGCCTTAGTCCAACAGAAGTTGGTCTAGTTCTCTTCTTATTGTCTTTACTGACCAACAGTCAGGTTCAAGGTTTATTCTGGTAGTATGTAGGTAATTTCTCCAGCCCTGCTTGAGGCTGAACTGATGAGGTCTGCTTTGCTGATACTCCTACCAGTATCAAAATATCCAACTTGACGAGATTATCCCACACAACTTCCTCCCTCCTCTGTAAAGCTTAAGGGAGTAATAAATAACCTTGAGAAAGAACCCAAGAAATTAATTAATGTATTCTTTCCCAGGATCTGAAGGAAGTTCACTGTGTATTCTCATAAGTCAGAATGGAAAGTGGCAGTCCAAATAGTGGGGATTTGTTGCTTGTGGCACCCACTCACCAATCTACCAGGCTTCCTCATGTGCTTGGGAATCTACAAGTCTATTAATCAATCATTCAGTTGCATGTAAATAATTTTTTCTACAGGACCAAATGATGTTTTGGTTATTTATTGTGATTAATAAATTAATATTGAGTTGAAATGCATAACATAGCTTTCAGATCTCCAGCAACTGAAAGCTCTATTCACGCTATTGAAATTATTAGTTACACTGAAAGGGAGATGTGGCTCCAGGAAAAGATGTT